TCTCACTGTATAGAGAAGGCTAAGAAGGATCTAGAGCCAAAGTGTTCTGCTTCGTAGCTGAAGATTCCAGTCATAGAGCTTTGGAGCACTCCTGCCTTTAGAGTGAAGGTACAAATTCCAGGTGCTGAAGCCAAATTTAATAAAGGAGTCCAGCACCAGCTCCTAGATTAGTACCTAAAAGTGAGAGCTGTAGATACATATCCTCCCCTAGTGTTTCCTATAGGCCGGCTCAGCTAGTGCAACCATTGAATCTCAATCTACACACATGATTTTCTCCACATCCTATGCATAGGAGCTAAGAAGAACATTGGGAGTTTCAATTCTTGGATATGGTACCTCATTTTTTTTTAAGGATTGCAGTGCTTAACTGCATAATGCCCAGGGCCTTCTGTTAAATTCCTGATTCAGTACTATTCCCATTTCTCAGTAAGATGTTGGTTTGGTATAGATGAAAACATTACATTCCTTTATTCTCTTTTGCATAATAAAGCACTGGATGTTTGAGAGGGATGTTTTTTTTTGTCTATGTTGAATATTTTATCTGTAAAAAGAAAATTAATTTTATCTAACAGCTGTTCCTTGTTAATTAGATGATAGAAGAGATCAAGGAAAATTTGTGTCTGTTTAAAAACATGGAAGTAGAAGCAGGCATTCATTAGATCTTAGTTTATTAAAGTTTATTAAATGCCCTGGAAATATAATAGGGGAATTCAGTGTGGACTGGGTATTTAGTATAACAAATTAACTCCTTCATGGGATGATATTATAAGCTTTTGTCAGGAAAGGTGGACACAGAAAAGACAGTACAAACTTTTTTGTATATTTGCTTTAGAACTACAATCCATACAGAAGTACAGAATGCTGAAGTTCTTGCATGTATGTAGGCAAAGCCATTTATGTCTGTTTTCCTGCAGGGACTTTTGCTTTATTTCAATTGTGCCCATTCTTTTTATTCTTTTATTGCACTGCAGACATTGCTATTGGTGCACCATTTGCAGGAGAAGACAGAAGAGGGAAAGTGCTTATTTACAATGGATACAGTAATGGGTTAAATACTAAACCTTCCCAGGTTCTCAGTGGAGCCTGGGCCTCACAGTCCATGCCTTCGGGATTTGGCTTCACTCTAAGAGGAGACTCAGATGTAGACAAGAATGATTACCCAGGTAAGATTTTTCCATTAGAAAGGGAATTTCATACTTCCATTCTTTGGAAAATGCATCATGACTAAACTGCTCCTTTTGGAAGGCAGAGGTCAGAATAAAGAATAGACATTTTTGGATAGTTCTAGCTTGCTTTCCTGAGACTTAAAATCAGACAAAACAAATACTCCCTTTCCTGTCAAAAGACATGATCAGAAAGGCAAGAAAGAGCTTAAATAGTTACATTAACATAAAACATGTGAAGTTCACAATAAAAAGCTTAACCCTTTCCCCCCACTTCCAAAAACTGAATGCTCTCAGCTTATTGAACTTGTAAGGTCTCCTTCATCCTGGCATTCTTTCTTAATTAAAAACATGTTGTGTTGTAGAAGAAGGCATTGACTTGGTTGTGTTCTAAGTTGTTTTTTGCTGTTCGAAGAGACTGAGCTATACATAGATTCTTAATGGCTTTGATTGCTTTACAAAAAAAGCAGAGAGAATGCATTAAACTGCTTAAGGCAGATATTTCATTTGGACCTTTCCATCCCTTTTATATTTTCATTTTGCTATATGGACTCTTCCTTTTTAGGCAAGCTTTGATTCTTCCTTGTTAGTTTACCTGACATGCATTCAAATTTATCAGGTTTGTAACATTAGTTGAGTTTTACTGGGGAGGTTTGTTTTTTTTTTCTTAAGAGGCATGTTCCTAGCGTCTAAGTAATCTCAATGTTGGAGTTATTTTACATGTGCTTGTATTTACTCTCTTTCTTCTCTAAAAGCAAATCTGTTCTGTTTCTTTTCATCACAATTCAGAAGAGTTAGCAAGGGTCTGCAGTAAAACATCATATTTTGTTATTGTGAAAGGTTCATGCACAGTAAAATGGTAATAGTCTTTATTTCCCTAACTTACTATGAAATCACTTTTTTTAGCCTGGGTTATTTCAAGGCTAGTGTTCTTAAATGTTGTATTGTTTCAAAAGTGAAAATTGTGATTTTCACAGGGACAAAAATGGGATCTCTTTTACCTTTTTGTGATGGATTGTGAAAGCCTTGAAAGAGGCTTTTTTTTCAAAATGAAAATTCTTTTGAAAAATGTCTTTTTTCAAAAGCAAAAGAGAGTTCCTGGGAAGAGGTGTTTACAATGGAATTTACGGTTTTGCAAACAGAGAAGCTGACTGCAGAGTCATAAGGTGAGGCTACCACAGGGCTGAAGTGAGAGGATCTTTAGCATTTGAGAAAAGAGAAGGCTTTTAAATATTGTTGTGACTTTTTGTTTGCATATTTTTGATGTTGCTATTAATAGTCTTTCATTGTCCATGACTGATGATTTCCTAAAGCACCCACAACGACCCCCAGCAAACCCAAAGAAAACAGGATATTGCATTCCTGGAATTTCTAAGATTGAAAAGATAGAGAGAGGGAAGGGAGAGGTGCTTTCCAGTCTTCTTTGAGTCAAATGGGGAAGAAGGAGAGTGAAAGTCTAACTAGTGTATTAGTGTTACTTTATGTGGAGCATCTTTTAAGCTAATTTGACAAAAGTTTGGGTGATGAGTCTCGATCTTTCTAAGTGTGTACTGAAGAGCTGTTATAGTCAATTCTGTTGTGAGATTTCGTGGAGTTATTATTTTTGCCATTGTAGGCTCCACTATGCATCCTACTTGCAGAATTTCGCACTGTGATATCAGCTCACTATGTGTTAGATGGTTTTGTTTTACTACATTAATTACTTATTTTACCAAGAAACACCCCCTGCATTTACTGTAAGTAGCTTTTCCCTCTCCCCTTAGTTGAAAATCTGGATGAGCAGTCCAGAGTACTGGTGAGAATATGTCAGAAAACAACAGAAGGAAAAAACCTTACTGTCAGTCAACCACCTCTTCCTTAATTCACAAAGACTTGAAGAACCAAAACAGAGCTGTAAAAATAGCACAACCATGGCACAGTATTAGCACAAAACCAGAATGCCTTCCTATGGGAAAAAGGAAAAAAAAAAAAGGAATAATATGGGGAAATGCAAGTCCAGAACAAACACATTTGGCAATGAAGTAAGTAATCCTTCTTGTGTCAAAGATCTTTTCTTCTTCACCTCCTGACGGAAATGCTGAAGGACAGCCCTTGTACAAGGAGGAAACGAGGGACTGAATGTGGAAGGAATAGGAAGGAAGTTTTATTTTAGATGTCAGCTGAGAGGAAGAGTATAGAAGGTCTAGGGAACTATCCTTTAATTTAGTACTTCCCAAACCACTGATTGACACTATGGTTCAGAGAGGATTGTGAAAGATCAGAAAAAAAACTCCAAATTTTTCATTTAAGCTTTTTAATGTGTGTATTATAAAATCAACCAATTTATAAAAAGAAAAAAATAATAGAACCAAATTATGCTGACTCATCACTCTCAGAAGTTCAGTTCCCATCGACTGGGAAATGAGAGCCAGCTGTAATGTCAGGCTGCTGGTATAGACATGTATTACCACAGTCTAAGATGAGATTCTCCAAACAATTAGCTTTTCCATGTCTAGAGTTCAAGTGTTGTTTGAAGACAAATGAGCTGACAGAGGGGTCACGCTTGCAAGAAGTTCAGGATTGACACCAGTTTGTGAGAACTCATATATGGCTGCGTGCATACAGTTTACTCAAGCCCTTGTGCCTAACACTGTTCATGAGGCAGGCATATCCCTGCTAGGAAATGAGAGTCACACAGTCAGATTTTTCTTATATTGGACAAAGGTTAAATCCTCTCTTCGCTGAGAGTTCGATTTATTCTGAGATCTACCTATTAGCCTCCTGAAGAAGAGCAGCCATTTGGTACAGGAAGTGATATCGTTCTCTCTTCATCCAAATGCCAGTATAAGCTCTGGAACAGAGAAGGAAATACAGAGCAGACAAAGGCTGCCTAATAGTGCTGTTCAAATCCCCTAGCTTTCCTATGGATGGAGGCGTGGTTTCTCCTTCTTCCTCTTCCCGCAACTCCTGGTTAGCAAAGGGAGACAGACCACCTCCTGCTTCCTGGTCTTATCTAGGAAAGGCAGAGAAAGACCTTCTTGTCCCCCAGAACCCCAGTTGCATAATAAATAAAAGTGAAAACTGATCACGGACAGATGGAATAGCAGAGCAGGTAGGGAAGAACATAATGCAGCCATACTGCTGCAGATGAAAGCTCTGTCTAGCATGGTAGCTTGTCTCCAGCAGTGGCCAACAACAGATACTCAGGAAATTGTTCTGATGTTTTGATATTTCCCAGACTATTCACCCAGCTCTAACCAACTGAAGGAGCAAGGTGCCCCTGAGCCAGAGGCAGCATCTTCAAATTTAGTAGCCCTTGACAGACTTTTCTTCCATGATTTTGATCAACCAATTGCAGAACTCAGGTGAACTTTTGGCACCCACAGCAACCAGTGGCAAGGAGCCCCACAGCCTAACTGCATGTTTTATGAATCATAGAATCATAGAATGGCCTGGGTTGAAAAGGACCTTAAAGATCTAGTTTCAACCTCCCTGCTGTGGGCAGGGCTGCCAACCACAGCCTGCCCAGGGCCCCATCCAGCCTGGCCTTGAATGCCTCCAGGGATGGGGCATCCACAGCTTCTCTGGGCAACCTGTTCCAGTGCCTCACCACCCTCTGCATGAAATATTTCTGTCTAATATCCAACCTAAATCTCCCCTCTCTTAGTTTAAAACCATTCCCCCTCATCCTGTCACTATCAACCCCTGTACATAGTCGCTCCCCCTCCTGTTTATAGGCTCCCTTCAAGTACTGGAAGGCCGCAATGAGGTCTCCCTGGAGCCTTCTCTTCTCCAAGCTAAACAAGCTCAGTTCCATCAAGCTTTCTTCATAGGAGAGGTGCTCCAGCCCTCTGATCATCTTAGTGGCCCTCCTCTGGACCCGCTCCAAGAGCTCCACATCCTTCCTGTGCTGGGGGCCCCAGGCCTGCACACAGTACTCCAGATGGGGTCTCACAAGAGCAGAGTAGAGAAGAAGTAATTCTTTTCACTGCATCCCATTCAAGTCTTGAATGTTCTACTGGACAGTTTCTTTGGATGTGGCCTAGCTCTTATAGTGAAGAGACAGTAAACAGTTCTTCTTTAATCCACTCTTATTTTATGGACCTCTGTCATATTCCCTCCCTCCGCCTTATGTTTTAGGAATCCTGTGGAAGGAACCCTAATTTACTTAATTTTTCCTTGTGCAGAGGCAAATGGCACATCAGTCTTACTGTACCAAATGATGGTTCAGTCTTGCTGTCACTGTTGCCTCTTCTTCATACATTTATATGCAAAGAGCAGTGTGTAAAGTGTGACTTATGTCTGACTAAAGCATTTCTTCTAATAAAGATTTTACCATTGACCTGGGTTTCACACTTATCTGTCAAAAAAAAAAAAGGGGGGGGGCAAAAAAAACCCCAAAAGTTGTATCTTCCTTACTGAGAAGGAAATAATATTTAGTACTTGACAAAACAATAATCCCAAATCTTTTTCATTGGTATCAGTGATTATGTTCATGCAAGAAAAAAAGTGAGACAGGAACTGTGGTCTGGCCTTGAGGCTACATGGCAGAGCACAGCTCACCATCAGCAGATGAAACTCTCCTGCCCACTGAAACAGAATGGCTGTATCAAAACTGCCTTCTGGGAAAGCTCCTTGGCCCAGGATATTCCCCAGACCATTCCTGGCCACTATCTAGGAGAGTACTAGCTTGCACACACTGAAATCAGACCAGAGTCTGTGCTAATGATATAAAAATCTGGACAGTACCAACACAGTGCTCAAGCTTATGCCCTGACTTTACTAATTTCACTTGTGTAGCTACTCACTACAAAAAGCACAGGATACAGACAGCTGAATGGCCACCTAATCAACTTCGTACCTAAAAATGAAACTTTCTCTGGTAGGGTTAACATACAGACAGGGCTGCTTTTCCTTCTCATTAGCTGTTCTGTCAGTGTAATGACCATCTATTGCTGCCCTGGCATAGATATTATCACTGTAACAGTAACAGATCTCTACTGTCAGTATTATGAAAATAC